GGGCTGTACGCAGGCCACTGCGTCCAAGCCTATCTTAAATCGCCTGAATTTTGTCCTGCCATTGAAACGTGGGGGGCAGGATAAGAGGGCAAGGTGGATGCTGTGCGGATAACACAAGTCGCCGCTGCCTCCCCCCGGGTCAATGATGGGCCTCGCCGAATCCGCACGATAACCTATCGGATAGGTCACAGCAACTCCGAGGCCGTAGATCCCCTCACCGCCCGCCCGCCCCCTTCAGCGAGCTGTATGGGGCAAGACCCAAAATCACCAGGGCAACGCGTGTGAGTCAGATGATTCTGGCCGCCTTATCAGGCGCGACGGAACCAGAGAGAGAGAAGGCAAACACGCGCCAAAAAAACGTGCGCGCACGCGCGCCAGCTGGCCTGTAGAGGCTCGGCAGTACCACCGCATGTAATACGAACACGCGGGAAATACGATGGCGGCGTCGCTCTCTCTAACTTTTCGCATGAAAGCACGTAGGCAGAAACGTAAGCAAGTGCCTGCCAAACCGTCCGACCGCCAGCGGTCCTTGGACGTGTCCCATCAAACGGGCTGAAAATATTGCCAGCACAGACACGCGCGCGAATAAACGGCACAGGGGGGAGGGGGGGGGTTGATATGGTGCCCGTCCATGACCAGTACTCCCTGCAGTGTTGGCAATGCAAGTGTGCACATGTAGAAAGGTGGGCCGTAGGAGGGCAATGATACTCGTATGGGCAATAAGAGATGTCCTAGTAAAGGTCGCTGGCTCTTACGACCCGGCGCTTATGAGCATCTGGGGTATGATTGAAAACAGCACACGAACTGACTGACGGTTCAATTGTAGCGAGAGGCGACGTCTACAGTGTAGCCCATTGCGTGGTAGGCGCAGCACCGTGCGCAGCATCTACCACACACTCTCTCTCTCCTCCGTCGCCGACCTGCGCAGGGTGGTAAAACGAGAAGTTCGGAGGTGGGTTCGGGGGCAGTGGTTGACAAAACTCAACAGCCCGTCTACGCGTGCCACGCACGGCCTGGTCTTCACACGGAGGGGCGCTTGGACTTCACGTTCGTGAGGGTGCCAAAGAGGCCAAATCAAGAAAAATCTATAGCCTGGCTTACAGCACACTAGCAAGCCGCTCTATGGACACAGTACCGATCACGAGGATCGGGTTACCCAGTCAGTAGACCACCTTCCAAGTCTCGACTCTCGGCGCGTCAGATTTATTAGAGTGAGAATTGCGCTGGATGGATTCCCTGAGTCGACTTCACTCTCTCTCTCCCTTCTACCATGCACCAGTCGACCGTCCGGGCCTGAACTTGAAAACTAAGGACAATCCACATTCAAACAATGTCTGATATCCGTCTCTACCCAAAGCTATCTAAGGGGTGTTGAGAGATCAACAACAGGGCAAGTCCCGATCCAAGATGAGATTATTGGAGTACACATGCCCGTCTGGGGCTGTGAGGCGGCTATGATCTGCAGCGGGGGGGAGGCATCGAGTATGTTGTTGCCGTTATGGTTTTTGCTGTTGGAAACAGAAAAACCGGCGATGGTGGTAAAGATATTGGGAAAAAAACCAAGGAAGAACGATGCAGAATGTTTGGGCCTGGGTTCGCTTCCTGCAACCGACCCTCCTATCGGATGAGTACCACGACCGTCGCAGCTTACCTCAACGCACCGAAAAGGGGCGAAGGTATCCACGAGCGGGGAACTTACTTCATTGTTTCCTGCCCTTCATACGAAAAAATAACAGTGCTTAGGCTGTCCACAATGGACGCACAAACTACAGACAGGACAGATGGCTACACAGGAAAGCATCTTTTTATCCGCTCAGACGTCAGCAGGTAGGTGCTACCACCACCACCGCCGCCGCCGATGCCCTGTGATTCAAATGAGGAATGGGATGGCCGTCCCTCCCACCCCCCCTCCAAAATGGATGACATAAGGTGCCTGGGGGCACTTGTCAAAGCCATCATCTAGAGGACAGGGAGCATGTGGCGGCGGTTGGAAGGACGACATTTCCTAGAACGACAACTACAACAAGCGAAGAGGGAGCAAATGCACAGAAGGTAAAAAAATGTCCGAAACACTTATCGAAATTCTCGTTCGCCGAAAGCAGTACATAGGCACTACGCACTCCTTTGGTTGACTTTCGACATTTGTACAAATCGGAGTATACTTTGGTGGAAGGGTGTCCAGAAAAATGGTTCATACATTCATTTTGCAGAAGACCGCGGCTTAGTTGAACCGTACACCTGACAGAAGGGTGCCTTCTCGTCTCCTTACGTAGTACCCCAACCTTGGGCTGTCAAAGTGGCTGTGCCAGCGACTTTATTTCCTTAACAAAGATTCAGAGTGGACAGTGAAGTCCGCTGAAGAGTTTTTGTATTGTGGACATTCGCCTATCTTCACGGCCATTCTCGGGTTCGGGGAAGCTGGTATCTCTGTCGATTTCGCCTTAAGGTCGCTTTGGCGTATGGCTGAATCGCATCAGCCAGAAAGCAGGCGCAGATTCAGTTGACAAGTTGAATTCCTGACGGACTATATGGGCGTCGGTGGGAGAAGCGTTTGGAGACCCGCAATTTAGGGAGATGAAACACAGACACCATCAATCGTACATTTCCAAATGGTGTAAATCATCTGAGTGTGCAGGTTACGTCTCTCATCCACAACGAAGGAACGTCTTGGCAGAAACCCCGTATACTTACAAGCTTCGTCTTAATACGGGTCTCAGGCCAGCTCCAGAGGTTTTGTCGAAGTCTAACTAAGGTCGTGCCTGTTTTGTTTATCTATTGTTCAACTTCATGGCAACAATTGGGAGATGGCACCCAAAAAAATCCACCCAACCAAAGCAGCCTGTCTTACGGGACAGGTGGTAATAGGGGTTTTACGGGTGGGGCCTTCGATTGCGTGGATAAATATAAATAATACTAAGAAGTTTTTTTTTCAGAAATGGCCTTTCGAACGATAAAGTTTAACCTCATCACTATATGGCAACAAAAATGTGAGCGGTGTCGGATTTACTTGAAGAGGCAGATAATATGAAGTCGATCCAGCTCGTATTCCCTGCTTAATTGCTTTTTAAAATAGGGGATTGAAAGCGGAATGCAGTTGGCTAAACGAAACGTTCTACGTTGTGCTGTTCATGACCCTATGCCTTCATATCATCGCTTTCAAAACTGCACGTTCAATAAACACAGAGGACGCGATTGAAAACATCGCCGCACTTGACCCCGACGAGAGTTGCCATTTTGTGAAATTGCTTAGCTGATGACACCGTCTGTCAGGATTGTATGCTTTTAAAGTTTTCCGGCCCTCAGTAAAATACACTTATTTTATTCCTTTAATCAGCCTGTGGACGAACACTCATGCAGTCCTCCGGCATATTCTCATCGGTAACGAAATTTTCTGGGTGCCATCTCCCAATTGTTACCAACTTCACTTCTGCTTCATCTCTGTTTGATGGACTGTCCCACGCAGGCAGCAGATATTGCCCCCAACTCGAGTTTTATCGACTACCCTGACCGAGTGTTTATCTCGCACCACGAAACCCGAGATAACCACCTTTGCCTGGGGTAGATTAATCTCCGGGCACACTTCTGACGTCCTCGCGCCTGTTTGCGACATAATGTTGCATTTCTGCACAAGGACAGGACCGCACCACAGCGCTTGCAGCGTACTCCACATCCAGACCTATTCTAATGCAATACCGCAGTGATCAGTCGGCGCGAAGTGAAAAATCCAGTGTCACGTAGTTGAACACCACGCAGATTCTGTCGGGGGCTGGAGGTAGCACCTAAAAAGTTCATTCTACCGCCACTAGCACGGGCTACGGTTTGAGAGGAGACTTGAGTCATATGGAACAGTTTTTAGTTGCATGTCATGGCGCGACATGATCGACCAGACGGAATCCCGACTAACCGGATCAACATCCACACCAATGAACTGTTAATAGCAGTGGCGATCCTCGCAGTTCGACAAGCAACTTATCAACGCATCCTACCCCCGTTCGGACTCCTCAGCCGAAGGCTAAACTACCTTATTCCTGTCCGCGTATCTCCGCACAGACGGGCGCGGTTGAGGGAGCGACTACAGAGACTTCTGCAGCACGCCAAGGAGACTGGTATCGCGGTGGAGCATACACGGCGATTTATTGCCTTTCTTGAAAATAAATGAAACGATGACGTCACTGCAGCCTGTGGGCAGCGTCCCCATTTCCCAAATTTAGGTCAAATGGGCAAGCAATAGGACGGCTATCCCCGCCGAGCAGCACTCACAGGTTTCGATGGGCAGACAGTCCTCAAGGGGTGGTGGACTGCGGTAGCAGTCATATTCGGGTGTTGGTAGGTCCTTGAACTTCGTTTTAGCTGAGGAGACCGAAGCCACAGTGACCCTCAGCTGGGTTAAATACTCCTCCGGGGAGACGGGTTGTCCGTTAGCCTAGCTGCTGGCTACCCGGCGCGTCCACAGGTGGCGGATAGTGGAACGGCCTTCAGTGAAGGTTAGCTGCGAAACCAGCAGACCCAGGTCTGACGGATAAGCAATCGTGGACCAGCAGTGACATTGCTACCAGGGTGCGGTCGGCTGAGGTCTGGCACGCTGAAAGCCTTATAAAAAGCCGCAAAGCCCAATGACGGCATTGTGGCATAGCGACCGTAAACCGCCATCAAATAAGTTTGCTTGCCACCGCTGCCTTGTGGTTGGGCTTTTAAGCCAAAGCATTAGAGGAAAAGACCTCGAACAAACAATCCGAGCGGCAGTTGGGGACCCGCCTGTATTTCAAATTCCCAAGAAACCTCATGAAATATGTCCGATCACAGTATTACGACCCATGCTACGGCGTCCGCGGGAACCGACGCGCTCCGCAACCCTGGCCCAGTAGTGCGGGCGAATAGTATGCCAGCTGGACAACTCAATCGGGGACGGACTCTTGGTATTGGATGCTGGAATGTGCGAACGTTCCTGGACCCTGGTACCCAAAGTCTGACTGCGTGCAGGCTTGATCAGTACAACGTAGATGTCTGCTGTCTGTCGAACTTTAGCTCGACTCCCTGACTCAGGCTCCCGCGAAATAAAGATCCCTGGAGTCGAATCACACTTTACCCTGGTCCGCAACAATCTTACCCAACCGTTCGGTATTCGGTCTGGCGTTCGACAGGGTTGTATCCTGTCACCCATACTGTTCAACTATGCTATTGACTGGATCCTCGGGAGGGCCCTACGCGAGAGTGACGGCGTGGAGTTTGCACCCGGACATCGGCTGACTGATCTCGACTATGACGATGATATCGCCTTACTTGCTTCAGGTTTGGGTGATCTGCAGTCTATGGTGTCACGGGTGAACGAGGTCGCTAAATCGGTCGGTTTATCCATAAACGCCGGGAAGACAAAAGTGTTTTCAAGATGTATCCCTGAGCAGAGGAGAGCATCCCTCGGGATTGACGGCTGTCAGCTTAATGAAGTAGGCAGTTTAAAATACCTCGGGCAAGGCTGCTGGCGAATCGGCAGAGTAAGGACGACATTGTCACCTGAATTGATGCTGCCCACCGGGTTTTCTCAAGCCTTATAAAATGCATATGGATCCGACGCGACATCTCCACATCGCCACTAAGATTCGCGTGTACCGTGCATCTGTCCGGTCTTTCCTTTTGTATGGTTGCGAATGCCCGGCTGTGCGCGTGGAGGAAGAGCGAAGACTGGAGGTATTTGACCACGACTGCTTGAGGACCATCTTTCGAGTGAAGTACACCGACTTCGTCTCAAATGAGACAGTTCGCGCTCGCTGCGACAAAATCGCAAGGATAACCCAGGCCATCCAAGAAAGACAACTGAAGTGGTTTAGGCATGTTCTTCGTCGTCCACCTCAGAAATTCAGTGTTACTGCGTTCGATCCGGTACCGTCACGCCATTGGAGGCGTCGAATAGAGGGTCAACTCAAAACCTGGCTCGACACAATTCGTCAAGACATGGAGGTGGTTCTTGGACCTTCGGTATTCGGTCCCGTCGTTGGCGAAGAGAATGGGTTGAGCTGTCCAGATCTGATGCCGCGGATCGTCACACTTGTAGAGGTACAGTTCGTGACATCATCGAGGCCGGCTACATCAGGCATGATCGCAGCCGTATCAAGTACAAGTAAGTAAATAGCCCTCTCATGGGAGAACTGGATCTGTTGGTGACGCAATGACTGCACCTTGATTGTTTCGGATGGTTGTAGCGGGCAGAATAAAGAACTTCCACATGTGTGAAATCCGGTACAACCTTCTGGTATCACCAGGTGCTGAAACGAGCTCCTCATCAACCAGTCGGAGAGTTTCAATAAACATTCAAACCTTGCAGAGACGCCTCTTGTGGCCTAGAGTGTCCTCAGAGGTACGCTGACAGTTTACTTCAGAGCTGACCGACCGGTTATAGTTGATGACGACTCGGATCGGCTCTCATCCTCGACGGTGCACCGAGGCAGTTGGAGACAACCTCACAGAAGCCTAAGGCAGTGGCAGATCGTCGAGACAGTCCACTTCGTAGGCTGTACCTTTTCGACAAGTCATCCTAGTTGTGGCCCGGTCCTCACATAAGCATGGCCAGATTAATTCTCGCTAACTGCGTTGGCACCACGCATCTAGTGTGGGTGTCGAGCGCTGGGATGGTTCAACGTGCTCTGACAAGTATGTCGATGATGATGATGATGATGATGATGATGATGATGATGATGATGATGATGATGATGATGATGATGATGATGATGATGATGATGATGATGATGATGATGATGATGATGATGATGATGATGATGATGATGATGCATGAATGAATGAATGAATGAATGAGCATTTCGATTGGGAATGATGGTAACCATCGTCATCGTAACGGGGATTGTGGCAGGCGTGATGATGATGATGGTGGCGGTGGTGGTGGTGGTGGTGATGATGATGATGATGATGATGATGATGATGATGATGAGGAGGAGGAGGAGGAGGAGGAGGAGGAGGAAGTGACGGCTAGTCATTTGGAAAAGCGCAAATAAGGTACACGGGCAACCTACCTTCTTGCGCTCATTAGCGCATCTCTGATTATACTGATTCGACTCAGTCAAGTCCTCTATCTTATCCTTGAGGAGATCCACGGTGTAACTGAAAAGCACATAAACGGGCCAGTAAGGGAATGAGCAAATAAGCATTACGTAGTTAACACGTTTAAACGCCAGAAGAGATTTTAGAGATGTTGGCGATAAGAGAAATGTTATTGACTCCGGCAACAAGTAAATCCCACCCCCCCCTTTTCCCTCATATGGGCAGACAACACTCGAGTATGTAAAGTAAACATGAAGAACGTAATGGAGCCGTTCTATTCAAAGATGCATTTACTCCAAGCTTAGTTGGAAAAGGCAGTACTTACATCCCAGGAAGTTTACTCCAATGTAAAGAGGGACCTAATTTCGCGCCTATTTAATCGTGCCACAAAAATGCGTTTCGCTGATAGGGCGAATGAGGTAAGTCCCCTTAAAGGTAGCCTAGGGAGTAGCGGCTACCCGGGGGTCCCCTCTGTATGCGGCCGCCACCAACAACTGATGAGGGTTCACGTAGTCGCACCCTCGTTGACGAGAGATCCGAGCCGCCCCTACAGCAGCCTGGCAAATTTGCTGAGAGCCAGGTCGTGTGTGGCAGGCGTCTAGCTTTGTCAGTCACTGCACACGCGTCCACCCCCCTCCCTCCCCCCCCCCGGTAGTCCTGACATTATTTTGTCATTTGAGCAAGGTGAGCGAGCGCAATAGGTGCATCGCAAGTCCGCCTCACCAGGAACGAATCGACGGGTAAGTCATCGGGTGCTGTGCCCAGCACGCTGTGGGGCACATGGTGAACGGTGCTGCTTGCAACGGTCCAAATGTCAGCTGCAGATGCAGGGCGCACACAAAGTGTCTGTTGCGAGCAGACAACAATATGCACGGAAGCCCAAGCACAAAACACCTGTCGGACACTGCAGGCTCCAGGCCGACGTTCAAAACCCTCTACCGCGCAAGGACAGCTCGCACCCAACGCTGCTCGCGAGGCCGCTGCAATAAAGAGAAGAAAACCCGAGTCGAGCACGTGGGTAGACACGTAATCAACTTTGCAGTAGCCTGAAAGGGAATCGGCAGTAAGTGGCCCCCTTCCACCTCCCCTTCCGCTCCAAGCATTCACTCAAACTATCAGAAACGCTGAACGACCTGGCGTGATGGCTTTACGACCAAAACTGTCTCGCCGTCCATCAAGCCCTGCGTAATAGCGTGCATGACAGCTACTTCAGTCGCGCATTCGGATATACTGTGCGCTAATTAGTACGGGGCGATTAGGGCAAAACATCAGCCTTCCTATGCACATGATCAGTTGACCTTTCGGTTAGAAATCCAATCACGATCTGCGTAGATGGAAAGAAGTCAACGTTGGAGGCATCCTACAGGCGTGATTGAGCAGTGACCTAGACACAGGACCCTGAGGGCTAGTAATTTAATTGACTTCCTGCGAAGTAACCGGCGCCAAACCTCAACAATGCTGACACGAACGCGCCGGTTTACACGAGCAACGCTTTCGAGATTTGAGGTTGTTAGCACAGGGATGTGGGGAGAAAGAGGGCGCGTGAGAGAGAACGTGATGAGTCATAAAGTTCTCCGGCAAAGTAAGCGGCACTACGGTTTTTGTAGCCGCAAACGGCAGTCCTTCTTGAAAAAAAAAACAGATAAGATAGCACCGACCCCTCGAAGCAGATATCCGAACGCTTTACAAGACTACTTTCACTGACAGATCCTGCCATTCGCCAGCAGAATCATGTTTTTGTCTCGTGTGTGAGGTTTGCGCTCTTCAACTGCTTCGAATCGGCTAGGTAAAAAGGCGAGGATTTGCGACTACCAACCCACGGGGAACAGAGCGAGCAAGCAGGGATTAAGAGGTAGAGAAAGTGGTTTGAAGGACGAAACCTCTATAAGCAGCCGGGATAAAGTCGGAAATGGATTCAAAGAGGCCAGACGCAGTTATCAATCTACCCTAACTGTAGGATGGAATACGGTCGACGCCGAGAATGGCCCTTTCTAAATTCGGGTCAGATAAACTCCCCTCCCACGTGACTCTGAGTGTGTTCGATCGCGGTCTACAGGAGTAGAGGGCCGGTGTCTCAAGTGACAAAGTCCCTGGCCCGCATGAATGATGACCAATTAATCCGGATTCAAAGACCCCGTCTTCCCAGACTGAGAGATAATATGCAACGACACCTCCCAGTATAAAGAGTATGTAGTAATTGTGGTGTGCATTGGTACTGTGCGGAGCGTCAGTACAGTCAGAAAGCCAGGCAAACGACCTGACAATGTGTTGGCAGGACAAAATAGGGGGTGAAGTTGATGAAACACAATGTTCAGTGGATGAGGGCGCCACTAATGTAGTGAATTTAACTCATTAGGTCGACATAATGAGCAAAATGGGTTTCACCTGCACATACAGCATATTTATAGGTTATTTTGCCAAAGAAAAAGATAAATTTTTAGATGGAAATTATCAGTTCTTTATATCCCGACGATTTCCTACGACAATTAGCTATCGTAGACCAGAGCTGCGTGCTCGCGCGGATCCTTCCGGAAGAGGACAGTAATTGAGCAAAAGGTTCACGAAACCGGCCTTCGTGGTGTGATAGTCGATTCTTCAATCCGCACATGTCAGGCGAGATGAAATGTGAATAGGTATGCTATTTTCGAGATGGGAGCGCCTCCGGTTTCAAAAAAAACAGATTTGTTAAGTCCTCCGATTCTGTGACCGGTTGACTAGGATTACTTTTGGTCAGATGTAACTATGTAGCCACACCTGAGGTAAACAAACCCCAGCAACCTGTAATACGGGACCGGTGGCAATAGGGGTTTTCCCAGGTGGGGCCGGGGGAACGCACAGGCGACGAGGTCAAGTAATTGTATGCAAAAGAAAAGCTATTGGGGACGCGCGGTTGTATTTTGAGTGGTTGAAAAATATTTGCCCTAACCCTAACTCTAACCCCTAACACTACTCCTAAGCCCTAACCCTAACCCTGAAACATCCAAATAGAAAGCTAGGAGGAGACGGCAGGCTGAAAGTCAAGTGGGACCACCGGAATTGAGCCAAAAAGGGCAGACACGGCAACAAAGAAACAAGACCGCCAACAGAACACACACGCCGCAACGCACAGCAATACCGTGCCAACGTAATCACACCAACTCAAAATAATTAGGTAGGTCAACAGTACTGCATCCATCCGGTGTGGCTACATAACCACATCTTGCCTTTCTTCTCTTACCACATGGGTAATTTCCACACATGAACGAATATTGTGTAAGTCACGGCAAAATGGCCGACCACGTCTCCGTCAATTCTACTTCCACATATGTGGCAACATACTTTCTGTGCGGTAATATTTCTTCCGTCTATAGACAAATTAACGATGGAACGAGTACTGTGCTAGTCACAAATACATTTATACGTAACTTACTTCCCGTATGTGCAAAACAGGGCAACCGCGGCGAGATTAGAGCCTGTGACAGTAAGGACATAGCTTTGGTACAATCGGCTCCTTAACCATCTGTGTTACAAGCCTCAGAATTTCACGTTTGGGCTCAACTACCAGCCCAATCTACTGTAACATGTAAAATTCACTAGCTCTTATATATCAGGTCGACTGCCCAAAATGTTAACTCCAGACTCTAGGTCGGGATATTGTAGTTCAGATGGTAAGAGCATTGGCTGTGTTGAATCCTTACTTTTTCTGTCGATGGCTCAAATTCCGCCAGTTAACTAATTCACATGAGAAAAAACCCGAGTATTCTTGGAGCCGCTCTGTGGACTATTCATATTAATAGACCAAGCCCTTGCACTAAGCCGAATAATAAAAATGATCCCAACGTAGGCAGGACAATTTTTCGCTTAAAACACAAAAAATGCTAATTTTAGTCAACCGAGTGCATGCAGAGGAATTTTCTTCTATGTTCATCCTGACTTCACTTCCGGAGATGAAACCAAATGCCATAGCGAAGGACTTAAATTGAAGACTTAATCAAGGGCACACTAATCGTAGGCATCAGCTTAAGGAGCTATTTTCCTTAGGCGGTGTAACTTAAAGTTTAACTCAGCCCAGAAATATGGTCCAAATAATCATTTCCGGACAAGGCAGTTTCCAGGAACACATCACGTGTGGAAAAATTTTTGAGAACCGCTTTATTTTGACAGTTCTGTTAGCCATAAAATGTCGACACTGACTTCTCTTATGATCGACTAAGGACATCATAGACAGCACTGTTCGTCGACACTTAATGAGCTGCAGTTTGAGCTTCAAAATCTGGTGAGAGCGTGCCCAGTTCCCTGATCAACAGGTTCGCTATTCAAACCGGGAGTTTTACCAGCCTGGGCCAGAGCATGACTAGCTGAAGCTGGAGCCAGAAATGACCTAGTCTCCGTCGAAAATGGCTTAGGATTACCGATTGCTCGTCACTTTGCGACCCCCCGTCAGAGCTCCAGACAGGTTGCTCGTGTGCCATTTGCAATTCAGTTAGCTCGGAAAAAGCCACTCCTACCCGATAATGTTCATCGGAATGTCAATCTCATCGGGTGTGAAGAAGGTTTAAGAGCGCGCCTCACCGACTGTCCCAACGCCAGATCCCCAGTACATGATAGTACAGTACGGCCTCTTTTTTTTCGAAGGCCCGCTTTCTATTCTTCCACTCTTTGTAGACTTTGGCCGAGGCTTTCCTTTGTCCACTGCCCTTCAGCTCCCCAGCATATGAACTCTGTCTGCTCCATCACCCAGCCAGCTCACTACCCCCC